TATTAAGTGTAATGGAGAGTACTTTGAAGGTGATAAGGTTGTTTTGTAAAAAATATTAAATACATAGGGGAGGGTGGGAGTTCTGTTTTTACTTTTTTTTTTTTGGTAATCTCTCATATAGTGGAGTTTGCTCAAGGCTACATGATGTGTGATATTTTAACCCATTGAGTGCAGAAACAGAGAATCTAGCTGTGCTCTCTGAACTAGGCATTGATAAGATTTACAAAAGTATGAAATGATGCCATTTCACCACATTTTTGTTTTGGAAAATGTTCTATTTTTCATAAAAATTATTAGTTATATGAGCATGTAATGGATTTTTTGGTTATTTTATGTGAATTAACATTAATAATTAAAAATTAAAATGTATGGTATAAATGCACATTAGCTTTTGGAAGTACTAAGTAATTTTTACTATAAAGTTATTATGAGGTCCTCTACCCCGAAACAGAAAAAATATTTGACCTAGCCTGTACTGATTAATTCGCATTTAAATGTGGTTTTGAGGAGTCATATGCTTAGCAATAACCAGTTATTATGGAACAAATAATCTAGAATTCTCACTAGAACATGATCGCAGAAGTTAGGAAAAATTAATGAATGTAAAGTGATTAACATTTGTTAACAGTAAAAGAATGTAAAGGACAGTGTGATTAATTACTACTGACCTTTATATGTGATGGCATTGTGGGTATCATGTTGGCTGCTAACCATAAGGTAAGCATTTCAAACACACCAGGTGCTCTGTGGGTGAAATGTGAGGCTTCTATAAAGATCTGCTTCCCACTCGGGAATAAATGGGAGCATATACATAGGTATAGGCAAGAGATAATGCTTATGACACACAGAACCCAGGAACAGGAATGGGAATAGTGATACCTAAAGGGTAGGGGGAAGAGGAGGAGAGATGGGAAGGAAGGGGGTACCAATTGCAATGATTGGCACATAACCACACCCCTCCATCCAGGGGGAAGAACAAAAGAAACCAGAGGGGAAGGGAGACAGTAGTCGGTGTGAGATAGGAAAATAATAGCAATCAATAATCTATCAAGGGGCCACAAGGATAGAGGGTGGAGGGGGGCAAAAAGAGGAGTTGATCCCAAGGGCTCAAGAGAAAGTAAATGTTTAGAAAAGAATGATGGCAATATATGTACTAATATGGATACAATTGATGAATGGATTGTAACAAGAGTTGCAAGAGCCCCAATAAAATTATCTATTTAAAAAGGTGTGCAGCCCACAGAAAATGGAAATAGATCGTCTGGTGTAAGAGAGGAACTGACCTACCACACCACACCCAGAAGGAAGCTGAAGCAAAGGAAGGAGGAGGAGAGGAGCGGAGCACAACTGGGCCCACCAAGCTCAGAGGACGATAGCCCAGCTCGGAGGGCCCAGTGTACAGAGAGGACCATATAGCTGCCCCCATGGTGAGATGCCACATCCTGCACTGACCCATGGCCCTGCACGGGATAGCATCACAGTGTGGGATGGGCAACTGAGCTGACCCCACCACACTGAGGCAAAACACTGGGGACATGCAATGGAGTAGCAGGGAAGCAGAGCAAGGAGGTCCCGAGGGAAGACAAATGATGGACTCTGGGGCCAGGATGTGGCACCCCATTAGACTCGTCCAGAAAACGCTCCTAAAGGTCAACAAACAGACCTTGATCTACTAACAGGCTTTTTTTTTTTTCTCTCTATTTTCTTTTTTTTCAGCCTCTCTGTTTTTTTTTCCTTTTTTCTCTTCTTTTAAATTTTGTATGTCAGTGGCTTTTTTGTTTGTTAGATTGTCGGTGCTGCTGCTGTCGTCGCCATGTTCTTATGTGCCACTTTGGTACTGTGCTGTCAAAGCCACCCGCAATTTTATTCACACATTAATATATCTGCATGTCCACCTAGATAAGAGAGGCTGGACCAAAAAAAATGTGAGAAGAAAATAAAGGGACCAATGGCCCCGGAGGGACATGGGAGTGTGGGAAGTAGGGGAAGGGAGGAGGGTTGGCCAACCTAGGGACAAGGGAACAACAAATGGTTCAAAACCAATGGTAGGGAGAGGATGGGAAGACTGGTAGGGAGTGACCAAGGGCAAGGTAGCTGCAAGGAATTACCGAAACCAGAATGAAGGCTGAACATGGTAATGGGACAGGAGGAAAGCGTAAAGAAATAGAGGAAAGAAGTAGGAGGCAAAGGGCATACATACAAGCCTAAATATGGACATGTGCATATGTAAATATATTTAAGATTATGAGGGAAACGGACCTAGGTGCAAATAATTATAGGTTTGGTAGTAGGGTGGCAGGTGGACATTGGGCTTCCTCATGTGCATACCCTTAATACAAGAGCACCTTGCTCAGCTTAATGGTCATTTCATGATATCTACCTTCCCGACATGATCGCTGAAGACAGACGTGTGCATAAGCAAATGTGGTGAAGAAAACTGATGGTGCCCGGCTATCAAAAGATATAGCGTCTGGGATCTTAAAGGCTTGTAGGCAAACAAGTGGCCATGTAGCTCGGAAACAACAAAGCCCACAGAGAAGCAGCACACGAGCCTGTGCGAACATGAGGTGTTGAAGGGATTAGATAGCAGACGCCAAAGAACAAAAACCATTATTGTGTGACCACCTTCCCCACATACACACTGAAGACGAATGTGTGCATAAGTAAGTGTGGTGAAGAAGGCTGATGGTGCCCGGCAATCGAGACCTATAGCGTCTGGGGGCTTAAAGGCTTGAAAGTAAACAAGCGGCCATCTTTCCCAGAAGCAACAAAGCCCACATGGAAGCAGCACACCAACATGTGTGATCATGAAGGGCCTCAGGGACCAGGCTTCAAACACCAAAGGTATGGGGGAAAAATATTCTCGTCAATGAGGGTGGCGCGTGATGGGGATCCAATGCCCATCTCTAGACAACTGGACATACCTTGCAGAGGGGTAGTGGGGAGGAGATGAGTCACTTAGGTTTCAGTATAGCAATAATGAAACCTACAATCTTCCTCTAGTTCTAAATGCTTCCTCCCCCAACTACCATGACCCCAATTCTACCTTGCAAATCTTGTTTATACCAGAGGATGCACAGCAGTACAGATGGGAATTGGAAACGCAGGGAATCTATAAATAATTTATAAGTGATCAGTAAAGATTTTATTGTTTTTAATAATTATGTAAAAGAGAGAAATATTAGTCTCTGTCACTTAAAAATAGTATATTGTTTTCCAAACCTACACATTTACTAGTATAAAACGATAAGGAATTTTTCATTTTCATTGTCCTTTATGATTATGATGAAAGAACATAAAATAATGTGTTTAGCATTCAAAGAGAAATAAATGTGATTAAAAATAATACATAAATGAAGAGTAAACTATTTGAGAAGATAATATACATTTTGGAAAACACATGTAGTATGAAATTAATCTTGATTTTGATGTGTTCCATTTGGTATGTTTTATGAGTCTTTGTTATGCTTTACTTTGTTTATAAGGACATCTTTATTCTTGCACTATACTTAGATATTGTGTTGGAAAAAGGTAATAAAGCTTTTTTATTTGTTTATTATGTGAAAATAGGATTCATAGCCCTTGCCCTTGCCCTGGCCTTGGGAAATTATTTGTTGTGAGTATGATATCTGTATACCGCTGGGAATTATGCAGTATCCAAGAAAATAGACATTTAAGGAAATAACTCTGTGATTGAATTTAAAGTCAAAGAATCAAAAACTGTAAGCAGAAAAGAAACTAATAATTGAGTGATAAGTCTTGTAAGCATGGCTTTTAAAATGACCTTGAATTGAATTGATGTTCTACTTTGATTATATTTTCAATTCATGTTTTTCTTACTCTAAAATAACATAGAAACTCCTAAAAAGATTAATATTTGGCCTCATTTTGTTTGGTAACTCCCCTTTTAAGTGTTACGTGTGTTTATTTAAAATGTACTGCTTTGCAGTATGGCTCACGTTGCTGAACATAGAACTTTTTTTTTTTTTAATGTTAGAACCTTGTGGTCCCATTAAGGAGCTCAGTGGTGGAGTGTGTTAGGCTGCTAATGGAAAGGTTGGTGGTTTGAATTTACCAACTGTCCCTAGGGAGAATGATCGATGAGGCTTTCTGCTTCCATAAAGAAAAGATTTACAGCCTTGGAAACTTATGAGCAGTTGTACTCTGTCCTATGTGGGCTTAGCATTTGCAGTAGAGGTGGTTCTTGCCTTTCTACTTTCCAAAAGGTAGATTGCCCTCTGGTGTTCACGCGGAATCTCTCGAAAAGTGTGGGCTGATTACAGTTTTAGACCTAAATTGGAGGTGGGAGTGGCTTGGATTATTATTTGTTTGCTTTCATTCCGTACGTGAGAAAAAGAGAAACAGGGAAACTGTAGATATTTATATAACTTTCCATTCATTTGACCTGCCTGTCTCCTGCTTGTCCATATTCATCTGTTCATGATTTGGAAGTAGCATGCTTCTTAGAAAGGAATTATTTAGATGCACATATATTCATTTATTTTTCTTTAGCTTTTGTCCCCTCAATTGTTTTGAGGTAAATTACTATTTTTAATGCGATTTTTTTCAGTATCATGCATGCTTTCATAATTATTAAAAGAGTGGCAGACGGTGTAAGGAGATGATGATAGAAGTTGGGTATATTTCTGTTTGGTTTTATAACAGCCAGCAAGCAGGGCACTAACAGAAAAGAATGGGGAGAGGTTATGTATGGTATAGTTGGAATTTTGAGAAGGTAAAAAGTCTTAGGAAGTGGAAAGGTGAATTTTCAGAACAAAGGGAGATTGCTGGACAGAGTTATATGTACTTTGTGATTTTTCTAAAGTAAAATGTAATTTTTGATACAATTTTACCAATGTAAAACTTGTAAAACATTAAGGAAATGTGGCATTTAATATGTAATAGTTTTAAAAGGTAGAATTAAAAAAATTAAACAGTAATTTTTGTAGTATTGAGTTTCACTGATGCCAACTGTGCCCTAATGTACACCCTCCTTTTAGTCTTACCAATAATTCTCGGATCGTGGGACTCCTGGCTCAGTTGGAGAAGAGCAATACTGAATCCACAGAATCAGATACTGCCAGATATGTTACATCAAAAATTCTTCATCTGGCTCAAAGTCAAGGTAAGTGTTTGGAATGCTTTTAAAGTTTATGAAAGGCGAGGAGCTGATATTAAGGGCTCAAGTAGAAAGCAAATGTTTTGAGAATGATGATGGCAACAAATGTACAAATGTGCTTGACACAATGGATGTATGTATGGGTTGTGATAAGAATTGTACGAGCCCCCAATAAAATGACTTAAACAAAAGGTTTATGAAAGGTATTAGGGAGCTCCAAAATGTGCTGGATAAATGGAATGATAATATAGTGAAACATTTTGGTTATCTTTGTGAAGCCCTCCTCATATGTGCTAAGGCTGTTCAATATTTGATAAAATAATTTTTCCAGTAAAAATGGAACAGTTTTAAATTGACTTAAGTAGAAAACTGAATGACTTCAGAAGAAATTGATCCTTAAAGCATTTTCTTAAAAAAAATATGATTTTATGTGTATGATTTCTCCCCATTTTTCAGTCAACCAATACTCAAACACTGCTCAGTACTGTGGTTCTTTTAGAGCAGTAGTTCTCAACCTGTGGGTCGAGACCCCTTTGGGGGTAGGTGTCCAATGACCCTTTCACAGGGTTTGCCCAATTCATAATAGTAGCAAAATTACAGTTATGAAATAGCAACAAAATAGTGTTATGGTTGGGGTCACCACAACATGAGGAACCGTATTAAAGGGTCGCGGCATTAGAAAGGTTGAGAACCACTGCTTTAGAGTGTTGCCCCATGGATGAATAATATATATATTTTCTTTAATATTGTACTGTTTACCATGTACTTTTGTAATTTGCCTATATATTCTCCTTGTTCTTGTTAAGTACCTTCAAGTCAGTTCTGACTCATAGTGACCTTGTATAAAACAGAATTAAACACTTCCAGGCCTTGTACCATGCTGTCAATTGTTCTTAATGTTTGAGCCTATTGTTGTGGCCACTGTGTCAAGCCATTGTGTTGAGGGACTTCTTTTGTGCTGCCTCACTGCTTTACCAAGCATGATGCTCTTCTCCCTGACCAATTTCTGCTGACAGCATGTCTGAACTTCTTCTAAGACAGGCTTGTTTGTTCTTAATTTAGATACATCAGTTCTTCTTCAACCTTCCTATTCTTCAACTTCACATGCATATGAGGTGATTGAAAGCACCCTGGCTTGTGTTTGGTGCATCTTAGTCCTCAAAAGAACAGCCTTGCTATTTAACACTTTAAAGAGGTCTTGAGTAGCAGATTCACCCAATGCATTTTGGCCTTGTGACACCATTTCTCTTCATATGTCCTTTCTGGCATAGTAAACCATGTAATTTTCTGATACCATCTCCCATGGCTTGGTTCATACCCTCTAATAAGGTAGGGTCCAAAGGTCCCAAGGAAAAGAGTATAACTTGGTTCACACCCTCTACTAACGTCAGATCTTAATCCCACCCTAATCCTGTCCATTAGCATAGAAGAGAACACCTTCCAAAATGAGTTTATAGCCACAGGCATAGAGTCTAGAATTACATATCAGATGAGGAATTATGGCAAAAGAGAATATGGCTAGAAGGGCCACACTGAGTCATGACCTATATCTCACATGCAGCCCTGTAGCCAACCACGATGTAGAGAGTTCATTAAGCCCCTCTATGTTGATCTCTTTTTCAAGATTTCCCTGTTGAATTTCTCTTGAGTTTGCTGATTTGTTCCAATAAGCAACATCACCTTAGTAGTCATTCCTGAATACTTACCCCTGCGATTGCTGTTTCTGCTGAGTACACTGTCTGTGTACTCTCCCACACCCCCTTCTTTATCAAAGCAAGCTTCAGCTGTCGATTTCATGGCCAATCCTCACTTTTGCAGCAGGACATTGACAGGGAACTGCCAAAAGTTCAGAACAGGACATGGAAAAAGGGATGTCATTGCTTATGTAAGATGTATCTTGGCTCAAAGCAGAGAATACCAGAAAGATGTTTATTAGTGTTTCATTGGCTATGCCAAGGCATTTGACTCTGGACCATAATCAACTGTGGATAACCTTGAGAAGAATGAGAATTTCAGAACACTTCTTTGTGTTCTTTTGGAACTGGTATGTGGATTAAGAGGCAGTTGTGTGACCAAAACAAGGAAATACTGCATTGTTTAAAGTCAGGAAAGGTCTGTGTCAGGGTTGTATCCTCTCATCATACTTGTTCCATCTACATGCTGAACAAATCATCAGAGTAGCTGGATTATATGAAGAAGAGTGTGGCATCAGAATTACAGGGACGCTTATTAGCAATCTTTGCAGTAGATGACAATCTTGCTTACTGAAAGTGAAGAGGACGTGAAGCACTTGCTGATGAAGGTCAAGGATTGCAGCCTTCAGTGCATGGAAGATCAGAATCCTCAAACTACATCAATAGATAACGGCATGGTAAATGAAGAAAAGATAGAAGTTGGCAAGGATTTTGTCTTGCTTGCAACACAATCAGTGCTCATGGACGTAGCAGTCAAGAGATCAAAACACATATTGAATTAGGTCAATTTGCTGCAGGAGAAGTTTTTAGAGTATTGAACAGCAAGGATGTTACTTTGAGGACTAAGGTGTGTCTGACCCAAGCCATGCATGGTATTCTCCACTGCATCATATGCATGTGAAAGTTAGACATCGAATAGGGAAGACCATAGAAAACTAGATGTATTTGAATGTGGTGCTGGAGAAGAATATTGAAAATACCATGGACTGCTAAAAGGACAAAACTGATTTGCATGTAAGAAGGAAGGTCAGAGTGTTCCTTAGAGTAGCAGTTCTCAACTTATGGGTCGCGACCCCTTTGGGGGTCGAACAACCCTTTCACAGGGGTTGCCAGATACATAACAGTAGCAAAATTATAGTTATGAAGTAGCAATGAAAATAATTTTATGGTGGGGGGGTTCAGCACAACATGAGCAACTGTATTAAAGGATCGCAGGATTAGGAAGGTTTAGAACCACTGCCTTAGAGTCAAGGATGGCAAGACTTAGTCTTACATACTTTGGACATATTGTCAGTAGAGACCAGTCCCTGGAGAAGGACATCGTGTTTGGTAAAGTGGAGGGGGTGCATAAAAGAGGAGGCCCTCGACTAGATGGATTGACACGGTGGCTGCATCAATGGGCTCAGACATAGGAACAATGTGAGGGTGGTGCAAGACTGTGCAGTGTTTCATTCTGTTGTGCTTTAGGTTGCTATGGGTTGGAGCTGACTCGATAGCACCTAAAACAACAACATCCTCCATTTTGACAAAATACACTCTTACCAACTACCTTTCAAGGAGAAGGGTGTGGGGGATGGGATCGGTCACAGACTGCACTTTTCTTACCTGAAATTCAGTAGTTTTCCATTAATAAATACTTCTCAATATGATGTTGATTTTCCAGCTGTCATTTTCCAACACTAGGAAGTAGAAAATCTATGTGAATATACAGTGTATGAAATCAGAATAGCTCTGAAGAATTAGCATGTGCTTCTAAACAAATTAACTCTGTGTTGTATAATTCACTTTTCCAAGTCTACTGATAACACTTACCTTTTTATTTCTGATGTTGGTGTGTGGGGGTGGGTGGACCAGCACTTTTCCTTGCTGTCAGTGGAGTGTTTATAACAGCCTATTTGAGGACTACATTGGCAATATTTATTACAGTTAAAATACAGAAATGTCCTTTGGTATATTTCTATGTATTTAAGGGAAATATTCTTACAGTAACTGCTAGAGTTAGGAACACCCAAGCACCAATATATTTACTGGATTACTGTAGAGAATTGATTATACATATGATTAGCTATATGATAATAAATGCATGTGTTATTATTATTATTATTTTTTGCTTTCTTTAGAACAAAATTTTTTTCTGCTTTTCAGAAAAAACCAGAAAAGAAATGACCGCTAAAGGTTCTACAGGAATGGAAGTTCTCTTAGCAACATTAGAGGTAAATCATAAACTGGCTTTAATTGTGTAACTAGTAATACTAGGTGAGACTAAAGAACTAAGCAATTATTTAGAATGGTTGTATGAATATTATAATATGTAGTAAATATACATATTATACATGTATCCATGTATCCATATTTCTTTGTGATTATAGTAGTAAGTATAAATTTTAGTCTTAACATGCTCTTCTAATTGTCACTAGAATATAAAGCTCTAGGAAGTCAATTTTTACTTTAAAACAAATGATTGAATTGAAAGTAATCATTTCTTATGTTCTCTTAACTGATAAGCATTTGTGATTGCCCACATATATTGGTTGAATCACTATATTATGTTACGATAATTTATTTTCTGTGTCAAGATATAAGTGTTGGATGGACTAGCAGGATACACTGAGAATCGTGATTATGGATTTATTCACTGCAATGTTAGGGATAGGGAATGTGGAGTTTATGTTATTCAGTAGGAATATAGCCACCGTTTCTCCCAAAATTATTCTATCACTTTAAAGCAATCTCAATACAAATATTGTTTTTAATTGCTTTGTTTTGCTTTTGAAGTCCAAGTAGAGGGTGGGGAAAGCAAAAATAAGAGGAAAATGTATAAGAAGTAAGAGTTTTATAAAAGGCCAGCCCTACAAATATCAAACCATATTATAAAGCTTCAGGAGGTAAAATAGTTTAAGACTGTGCAAAAGTAAGTAGACATCAGTTTAACAGAAGAGAGATCCCAACATGAAATTAAAATACTCAATGGGATTTTGGTTGTATTTAATGAAGGCAACAGCCATTCAGATCAAAAGGGCAGTGTTTATCTAAGGACAGAGTTCAGAGAGGATAGGAGGAGGATTGGAAACAGGAGACAGGGAGGAGTTGGTGATACATTGTTGGGATTGGAATAGATGAGATGTGAAATAAAATTGTTATGAATGTTTGAATGTAAGACTGACGTCTGTGTGTAAACTTTCACATAATTCATAATAAGGAGTTTAAACAAAAAAATCAGGTTTGTGCATGTGCCCTTCTTTGTCCGTGATTGAACTGATCTTAACTGGTTCAAAGCCCTAGGCTTTTCTTTTCTTTTTTAAGGCTTTTCTATATATGAACACACACACACACACACACACACACGGTGGTATGATAGAAAAGATTGATAAATGTAATTAGAGTAGTGTATTAGTCTGGGTACTTTGGAGAAACAAATCCACAGCAACTCATGTATAAGAGAGAGTTTTATGTAAAGAAAAGGTGCATCGCGAAAACATCCCAACCCAATGCTGCCCAAGCCCACAAGTCCAACATTAACCCATACCCAACACCAGTCCACAAAGTCCTTCACCTCACAAAACAGAGGCAATGATGCCGACTGCAGGAGGAAAGCTGAGTCCGTGAACGTGTAAGCATCTCAGCACTGGCAAGGGTCTCCACACGGCTGCTCCAGCACCCAGGGCTGCATCGGGATAGATCCATGCGGCTTCTCCTTGGGGATGTCTTGTAGGAAGTCAGTCTTGCAAGCTGAAGCAGAGAACTGCTAATGCAGCTGCACCCGATACAACCATCACAAAACAAGAGACCCGAGAACTAGAACGGCGAGTCTTCACCACCCATTTATCCCTCCGCCTTTCAACCAGCACCACATGTGATTATCGGCCAGGCTGGCACAATTAACTAACTCAAGTAGCAAAAACAAATGAATTAAAAATATAATTTGGAAAACTAAGGAAAGATATTTTGAATTACTATAGTATCTTTATGAATATATGAATAATTTCTATAAATCAGTAAAAAATCAAATAGAAAAATGTATAAAGGTTATAAACAAACACTTCCCAGAAGCAGTATGCATAGACATCATATGAATAATAGACATATAAACCAAATTGTAGCTTTTAAATATTCCCAATTAGATTGGATTTCAGACTTTAGGAAATATGTGCTCTTGTACATTGCTGGTGGGTGTATACACATTTCATTTTGGAGAGCCATTTGATAAAATGTCCAAAGAAATACTCATATTCTTTGATAAAGAAGTTTGGAAATTTATCCCTTATGTAGATATATTTGATTACAAGTAATTATATGCATTTAATTATTTTTATAATGTTATTAATAGGAAAAGATTTTAAAACAACCAGAAAAATCCATTAATAGGTTACTTAGCTGCATAAATAATAAAATAGCCTTAGACTGAAGCATGTTCTGTATCCCATGACTACTTTCTGAGGGGGGAGCTGGGTGACTGATCAGATGGCCACTATCTATTTTGCAATGACTTTTACGTTTTGATTCATTTTCTTGTATGAGATATTTGATAAAAAGATGATGAATTCAAGTGAGAAATTTATTCTTATAATAACGTTGGCACTAAGAAAATGATAGCTCGAACGATCTGTAAAGCAATTTAAGGACAACAAGAAGTGACCAGAGTGATACAGGAGAATAATGAAAACCTGAATGAATACATTTGGTTTTTGAGAAGTTGAAAAGGCCACCTGTAAAATACAGGTAGATCCTACCAGGTAGAAGTTTGAGAATAAAAAAAATTGACAATGTTTTAATAAGCCGATTAAAATATTTATTTCAGAACACAAAAGATCTTCAAACTACCCTGAATATCTTAAACATTCTTGTTGAGCTGGTGTCAGCTGGTAAGTTTTGTTTGTTCGGTCTAACTTCTGTCTGTATCCAGTCGTCAAAGGTCAGCCTATGCATGTTGCCATTTTCTGATCCTCATGTAGAAGCCATTATGGAGTTGGACTTTGAAATTCCTTCAGAGTCACTGTGTTTGTGTTATCTTTCAATATCCCTCTAACTCTCTGGGAGCCCATGTAATTTAGAGCCTTGAACTTAAGAGTTTAAGCATCGCATGTGCTCGCTCTGTGCCATTTTGTAGCAAAAGGAAATGAGATAAAAATAATTTTGGTGGTTTGACTTTAGTACTCATCACTTCAAAGATTACGGTATTTAATATATTATGGCCAGATTTGTTGCTGTTTTTAAAAATTGTTTTTAAATTTCTAGGTGGAGGTCGTAGAGCTAGTTTTTTAGTCGCCAAAGGTGGTTCACAAATATTGTTACAGTTACTGATGAATACCAGCAAAGAATCTCCCCCAAATGAAGAGTTAATGGTACAGATTCATTCTATTCTTTCCAAGATTGGGCCCAAAGGTAAGGGCTTTACGTGTGTCATTGTTGACTCTGAAACCCTCTTTTAACACTGATTTTTATCTGCCATGAAACTACTAAGTGTTTGAATCTTCAGGTGTGTCACTTGTTCTCGATCTTAGAAATGAATGCTTTTTACAAGCAACCTGCAAGAATTGGAGATCCAAAATAAATAAATTTGCATAGGGTAGAAAAAGGAGGCAGTCTGTAGAAACTAGAGTATGCTGGTGGATGTTTGCATTTGATTGTACATATAAATGCTTGTCTGGATATTGGTGTCCCTAGAAGGAGGGAGAATGGGCAGGAATGATTTGAGCAACATGATGTAAAATGTGCCAGTGCTTTTCATTAATAGTAATTTCTTGCATGCTTGTTTCTCACTGTTGAAATTTACAGGCCAATTAAGGACAGATTTAACATGAAAAATGATAAATTTTATAATTTAATTATTATAGTTACATGCAAAGTATTAACACATGAAAAATTACAAACATAGAAATAGAGCACAGGAGGAAGCTGATGTTTGTTAGGTTAGTGCAGAAACGTGTCCCCTGTGTAGAACTTGAGTTGTTTACTTTAACAAAGGATTAAAATGATCTCCCAAACCAGGCTTCTCAACTGTCCTAATGCTGTGACCCTTTAATACAGTTCCTCATGTTGTGGTGAACACCCCCCCGCCCCCAACCATAAAATTATTTTCGTTGCTACTTCATAGCTGTAATTTTGCAACTGTTATGAATTGGGTGACCACTGTGAAAGGGTCATTCGACCCCAAAGGGGTCGCAACCCACAGGTTGAGAAGCGCTGTCCTAAACTCTTAGTATAGTAATTTTAAAGCAGTTATGCCATTTCCTTGTTACTTGCATTTGGTTTTTAGTTTTTAAAGTTTGGTTAAACTGTTTATTGTAAACACTAAGGATATATCTCTACATAGTATATATATATATCTCCAATAAAAACCAAAATCACTACCATTGAGTTGATTCTGACTCATAGCAACCCTGTTCTAGAACAGGGTAGAACTGCTTCTGTGCGTTTCCATTGAGACTAGAACTATTTACGGGAGTAGAAAGCCCCGTCTTTCTCCTGAGGAGTGGCTGGTGGTTTGGAACTACCGACTTTGCAGTAAGCCATCCAACAAACCATCAGTGCTCTTTGTATGCCTAAGGGGGCTTCAAAAAGTTTTGGATGGAATTAAAAGATAATGGAATTTTCCCATCAATATTTTGAAGCCCCCTGTATTTCATGCATATCTCTTATATATCTTATAAATATTTAACTTGCACTTTTAGTTGTGATGTTTTATAGAAACCAACCCTGAGATGGTGTTAATTTTCTAGATAGCCTTGGGACCTTATAATCTAAACATACTCAGTTTACTAAGGGAATATGTGAGCTTTTATCTTTCCTTAATTCTTGTATTTGAGATCTGAATCCCTTCTTCAATTTTTACTGAAAAGGGATTTTCCTTCCAGATTTAAAATAAGAGAATTTGACTCCTTGATAAGTTTTATTCTCTCGGTTCTTGTCGTCATCTTAAGGACAAGTTATCTTTTTCTGTTTTCCACGAAATAAAGTAAGCTGTTGATGCATTTAGTTTGCATTGTGTATTTCAATATCTGCTTTGAGTTGTAGTTCATCATTTATTTCATGCTATGTATTCTTTTAAATGTATGCTATTTCTTTCAATGTTCTCCCTAGTTCTTAATAGAGTACTTTAAAAATCATACTACAGAAGGACAATTTTGTTTCAGGACTCTATATGATGATGTGAGTTCAAAATAAATTTAAGATACAATTGCTTCATGATAGCATCTCATTAAAAAATTTCATGAGTTAATTGTTTTTCATTTTTCTTTTAAATAGACAAAAAATTTGGAGTGAAAGCTAGAATTAATGGGGCTCTGAATATAACTCTGAATTTGGTCAAGCAGAATCTGCAGAATCATCGCTTGGTTCTACCTTGTCTGCAGCTTTTGCGAGTATATTCTGCTAACTGTGAGTATGCCAGAGCATCTTTTGATGAACTCAAGGTTGTGAAATGATACAAAACGAAAAGTTTAAAGTATCATTATTCTGTGAACATTTGTGAACAAGGAAAGCAAAGATTTAATATTGCTGCTTTTGGTTCCTACACCACAAAAGGGAGATATGGGTTAAAAAGGTGATTTGAGATAATCTGGAGTACTCTCCTTAAGTACTAGAGTACAGGGGATGAGTGGAGTTCCTGTGGAAAAAATGTGGGAGAAGATGAGGGTATTGGCAGTTGGTAAAACTGCAAGGAAAGTGTCAGTGAGATTTTGTTTCCCCAATGTGACGGTATACCTGATTACTCTTTGAGGGTAACAGGACTGTCCTATGAAAATTTAATTGGGAGACCTCTACCCTGTACCTCTGATCTCGCTCTTTCAGACTTCTTGTTCTCCAAAATCAAAGAACATCTCAAAGGAACACAATTTGGATCTATCAAGGATGCCAAACTATTGTTTTGATGTGATGTAAATCAAAGAACACAAAATTCTTTAGAGAAGCCCTAGCGATGGAGGAAGGGAGGGAGAGAGAGAGAGGAAGGGAGAGAGAAAGATAAGAGAGGTGGCCTCCCAAAAGTTGGAGGACATGTGCAGAAACAATAGCTTCACATTTTGATTTTTTTTGTTGTTTCGTAAAGGTTTTGATGATTTTATAGAAATACTTTTCGATTTACCTTTGTACAGCTCTATGTTATTGCAGAATATCATTACAAAATAGTTATAATGAACTTGCTTAGATATATGTGTATGTTATGTATATAAATTTGTACAAAGGGTTACCCCGCAAATAGTGGATAAAAGCTCCACTGGGCGGAACTTTTGTAGTATGTGTTTTCCCTGCTATGCAATCATTGAGCAATTCTAAGTTAGTGAACCCAGTGGTGACACCTCTGAAGATTCTCTTTGGCCACTGTGAATTTTTTTGTAAAAGTAGTTTTGCGCGCATCTCGTTTTTTTTGTGATGGCCGATTTAGGAGAACAGCATGTGGCTGTGAAATTTTATTTCCTGCTTGGGAAAAATGCCACAGAAACTGTTGTGATATTGAACACAGCTTACAAGGACAGTGTCATGGGAAAAACTGAAGTGTACGAGTGGTTTTCTCGTGTCAAAAAAGGTGAAATGTCGATTGAGGATGTCTGTCAACTTCCCGAACGGACCAAAATGTTGACAAAGTTTGTGCACTGGTTCTCAAAGACCCACAATGGACCTTAAAAGAGTTGGGGGAGTTATCTGGACTATCTTGGAGCTTGGATCAGCGAATTTTAATGGAAGATTTAGGAATGCGAAGTGTCTCTGCGAAATTTGTGCCTCAGGTTCTGACTGACCAGGAAAAAGAGTAGAAACATGCTGTGGTTTGAAAGAACTGAAGCAATCCAGACTTTTCCCCCCAAGGTCATTGCTGGTGAAGAGACCTGGTGTTATTTTTATGACTCTGAAGATAAACATCAATCAAATCATTGTCACCTCACCCCAAAACTTGTCAAGTGTAATAAAAAAAATCAAGACGACATTAATTTGATCTTTTGATGTGAGGGGGGGATAGTGCATTTGGAGTTGGTTTCACCAGGTCAGACTGTTAATCAAGCTTTCTACTTAGAGATTCTGAAAAGATTGCATAATAGTGTGAACAAAAGGCCTGATTTGTGGCAGACCGGGAGTGGTACTGCCACCACGACAATGCCACCTGCTCACACAGTTATCTCATTGCACCAGTTTTTGGCCTCTCTTGCCCCATGTACCTTACTCACTTGACATGCGACTTCTTTCTGTTTCTGCGAATCCAGAGGGACATGAAAGGACAGCGGTTTGATGATTTAGAAGAGGTGAAGAAAAAAATTGAGGGAGGTGCTGTCAGCCATTCAAACAGATGAGTTTGAAAAATGTTTCCAAGAATGGAATCACAAATTTGACAAAATATTAAGTGTAATGGAGAATACTTTGAAGGTGGTAGGTTGTTTTGTAAAAAAAAAAAAGGAAATGTTTTTGAAAATGGTGATCGCAACATATATACAAATTTGCTTGATATAATTGATTTATGGATTGTTATAATAGCTGTTAGAGCCCAACATAAAATTATTTAAATTAAAAAAATTTAGAAACATAATTTTGAAAAAGAAAATTCCATTTTTTGGGGTACCCACTCGTATGTATGTGTTTATATACATGTATACATCATCATGTGTATGTTTCGTGTTTCTATATATATACATAGACCCACACTTTGATAATATGGGTAGTACAAACGATTAAGTGCTTAAGGTCTAATGAAGTGAGTAATGTTTTGAATGTATATTGAGGCTGTCTGTAATTCTGGGCCTCTTTATTCCCTGGTCTGTACAAGGTTCAAAGCTACCCATAAGCGCCTTGAAAGATGCATTTAACAATTTGTATCCAAAAGATTACAATCTTAAAAAACCAACCCTGTTCTGTTCTGTTCTGCGAATATGTGGTCACCATGAGTTGGAATAGACTTGGTAGCAACTAACAGCATACTCAGAGGAAAATAACATTAACACTTAGAAAACACTTATATCATTAAAAAGAACATCAGAAAATTAGTAAGATGTCTAGCTAAAGATGTTAAGAACAGAGCAACAAACACAGGAAAGCAGAAAAATAAAATAGTAAAGAGGGAAGCAGTTTATTAAAAAACAAAACAAAACTGAATTGGGTTTAAAAAAAATAGATAGCACCAGGGATACAATTAGAAGAAGTAGAGTAGTAAAAAGCCCAAATATACAAGTTATAAAAATCATCATTTAAAACATTAGGAGTTACGTTTTAAAAGACATTTTAGTGAATGAACCAGGAAAAGGCTAGAAATTGACTCATCTGTAATTTTGTTAACCATATTTGTTCAGAGTTGAATGTTCAGTAGAATTTTTTAGTTAGGTAATTGTTTGCATATTTCTTGTGAAACACTTTCTTTCATGCTACTTTGCTTTAGTTAAGATCCATTGTCTTTTACCTAGATAGCCTTCTAATTTTCTTTTGTAAATCTGTCTTCTCCAGACTCTGCTGGTTCTGACCTGTTTTACTTGAAACCTGGTTTTCTATTCTTTTTGTTAATTCTTGTAGCTGAAAAGACTGAACTATAGAGCCCTTCATAATTTCTTTCTTTTTCCCCCCATAATTTATTTCTTAGCTGCTTTCTCCATCTCATTGTTCCGTTTGTATGGGTTTGTCTGATACAATGTGCTTTCACAATATGTAACTGTTTGTACTTGTGGCAGTCATCTTCTGTGTACTGTCTCTGTTAACCGTCTTCAGAGATATCCCAGATCTATAGCTATACCTTTTTTTTAATCTTGGAAATTGAGCCCAAACTTTATTTTCTCCAGACAGACATTCTCTTCTACTTTGGATGATGGGTGCAGCTTGTGTACCCTCCAATGATTAATCTACTTAGAAAATAATTAGCAATTGCATATATATTTTTTACTATTGTTCTCTTTACTTGTTCATTGAATTCGGAGATTATTTTTGTTTCTAAATCATCCCCTGGTATTTACTGAAGCTCATTAAATTTATTGAATAAATAAATAGAGCTTTTAAAATTTATTTTTAACAGCCTTTTTTCCCTTATTCATATTACTGGTTTCAGAATTTCTTTGCAACTCTCTATTTAAAAAAAGTACATCTCTTCAATGATTGACTAACGTGGTTCTTGAGTGACTTGGCAAAAAAACCAAACTCAATGCCACTGAGTCAATCCTGACTTATGTTGACTTACCGTCTTGCAATTTAATTTCACATGTATTAAATAATTTGTATATGTTTTATTTAGGCTGATGTATCTCATGAAGAGTATACTTTTTAGCTGTGTTTTAAAAAATAATTTATATTTTTTTCCTTCACAGCTGTGAATTCAGTATCCTTAGGGAAAAATGGAGTTGTGGAACTGATGTTTAAAATTATTGGACCATTTAGTAAGAAGAATTCAGGTCTAATGAAGTGAGTAATGTTTTGAGTGTACATTGAGGCTGTCTCTATAATTCTGGGCCTCTTTATTCTTGGTCTGTGCAATGAGCAGGTTGGATTAGGTTGTATCCAGGGTCCTTTCTTAATTCTTAAATAGTAATTCTATTGTAATTTTTATGTTTTTGGTAGAAAGTATAACCTTAAAATATTTATCAAAATTTGAATATATTAAATTTATTTTATGCAATATTTATTTAAATTTAGACTTTGCATTAACTGTATAGTTATATAAAACTTTATATTTGCTATACTAAATTATCACATTTACTATATGTTGTTCATTTATATATGTAAATATAATATTTTATATGAGCAGTCCTAAATACAGTGACTAAGACGATTAAGGTCATTTATAGAGTGTTATTATTCACAAACATCTATTGAGTGCCTACTGTTGCTCACCCAGCTTTGCAGTTGTTTTAGTAGCTTCTTCCTTTAGTTTCACGCTTACTTGACTGTATCTTAAATTTTTATATTTCTGTTTGCCAAAATGATATAATTCTATTTTTTCCCCTCCCAATTTTGAGGTATATATGTATATAATAGTGGATTTTCAGCCTTGAAAATGGAAGCAGATTCTAATTACTTAGTTATGTTGATGCTCAGTCATATCAGGGGTTATTTTTTTCCCCAAGAACCTTTTATCACAGATTTTTTCAAATATGCATATAAAGTGGAATGTGATATACCATTAAGCATATTGAATTGATTATATTATTATAATAAAACCTTGATAATATATAATTTATAACAAATTTATTTTTACATAACACTATTTTATAACATTAATACCAACATATTATAATATAATGTATAGTATAATATATAATGCTTATATTGTTACATTATTGATATTTTATTTATTATAGTATATGCAACAATTATTAGTATTCTACTTTTGTTTAATTTACTCCCCCTCTATATTTCTGTTTGTTTTTTATTTGGGACATTTTAAACCAAATTTCTAGATACCACATATATGAAGAGTACATATTTATATCAATGTTTTTTTCTTTGTAAACTAATCCTAGATATTTTTTTAATTGTCTCTAAATATGTGGAATTTAAAAAATAACACATTTTAATAAATCATAACAAAATTATTAACTACTTAATAAACTCTAAAATCCGTTCTATATATAATTTTCTCTCAAACTAAAAACCAAACCAACTGTCATTGAGTTGATGCAGATTCATAACAACCTTATAGGAACAGGGTAAAACGGCCTCTGTGAGTTTCTGAGACTAAGTCTTCAGGGCAGTAGAAAGCCTTGTCTTTGTCCCACACAGCTGGCTGATGGTGTTGAACTGCTGACTTTGTGGTTAGCAGCCCTACAAGTAGTCACTACGCCACCTCACAATTGCCCTTTCACAGTTGGTTTGTTTGAATCAGAATCCATACTTTATTCTTCCTATTTAGGAAATTTCTGAATACATATAAAAGTAGAGACACTATTGAAAATCAACCCTGATATATGAAAGGGGGACTTTAACAAGTTTGTGGAAAAATTTGATTACATTTTAATTCTATTTTTCCATGAACTTTTGAAGTCCTCTTGTATGCTTATATCAAATATAGACCTTTTGCTTTTAGAACTTCTACATTATGATTTCTTTATAATTACTCCTAATTATCTGCTAATATTTCCCAGTTAGCTTAGAAAAATTATTTTACAGTTGGAGGCTTTCTACTCCTTTAGAGAGTTATAGCCCCAGAAATCCACAGGGACAGTTCTCCCTATGAATCAATCGATTTGACGGCAGTAAGCTTTAAAAAATTTACTTTAAAATTTTTTATGAGATTCCTAGTAATATCTCTACATTATATGTAATTGATATGTCTCATATTCTTTGTAATTCTCTGTGAACCCCCCCCCCCGTTATTTTATTTTATTTGTTGAAGGATCTTGGAGATGATAATGTCTTGTAGGAGGCACCATATTCTGGATTTGGATGGCTATACCTTTGGTTTACTTAACATGTAGTTATATTCTTCATATTTTCTGTAGACAGAGCTGAAGCCTCACTTGTAGAAGTCTCACTTGTAGATGGGCTCCTGTGTTGTTGCTGTTGCTTTTAAACTTTCAACAGCTTTATTTACTTATAATTAACATGGTGTATAATTCAAAGGCATAAACATATTAATAAGTGTTTTTTTTTTTCCAAAATTATTTCATTAGTGCTGGATACCTTGGTTTGCTTCACTTAAAATCATTTGGTTAGATGTTCTAGCAATCATAAGTATTTGCATCAATTTTTTGCTTAATGATTTAGCCATCTTTCAGGACATTGCCTAGATCCATTATTTCATTGGATATTGCAAATAAACTAATTTTGTCATTCTTTATGTAGGTAAGCATAGTAAGCTGGTGCAATTAAGGCTCACTTCTTTTGTTTCCTCTGTTATGAATTTCTATCTTCTTTGCTTGATCTTAAACTGTTCTTGTATATCAGGGGTCCTCAAACTTTTTAAAAAGGGCGCCAGTTCACTGTCCCTCAGACCTGTTGGAAGGCAGGACTATAGTTTTAAAAAAAACTATGAACAAATTCCTATGCACACTGCACATACCTTATTTTGAGTTAAAAAAACAAACGGGGCAAAAACACCCAGTGGGCCGGATAAATGTCCTCAGCGGGCTGCATGTGGTCCGCGGGTCAGTTTGAGGACGCCTGTTCTGTGTAGTTTTTTTTTCTTAAGTTGTATTAGGTAGAAGGGTAGATCTGGGGTCCTGCTACTTTATCTTGTTTGTGAGTAGAAGTCCATACTCCCTTCTTAAAAGACCGATATTTCTGACTTCACAATTTCATTTCTCAAAAGAATGCATTTCATTTTTATGTGATCCTAGGCAAATTATATAACTCTTGAAATCTTTAGTTTCCGTGTTCAGGTAATGTGCCAATTTTGTGGATCAGAATTGCTCTAGAAATTAAACTAGAACACAGTTATATGAAGCATGTATTATCTCTAGCATTTATGCATTTATAAATTCTTACAGTGTTCCTTTTTTTTTTCATATTGTACTTGATTCAAAAGATCTGTTTAGTTCTATGTACCCATAGAGCCAAATGTAAAGCCATCCTTATTCTGATAGCTTTATAATTTCATGTATATTTTATTATATAACTATAAAGTATAGAAAGTTTCATATTGATAGTACTTCATAATGCTTATTTCCTTTTTAAAAATTAAATAAGTACAAGGGGACATTAAAATGTTCATGGAAAAAATCCATTGTCTTTTGATTTTATTTTCTGTGAACTTTTTGAAGCCCCATTGTGTATGTATAAGGAGTCCTGGCAACATAGTGGTTATACATTGTGCTGTGAACTGTAAGGTCAGCACTTTGAAACTACCAGTGGTTTCTTGGGAGAAAGACAGGGTTTCTGCCCCTGTAAAAAGTTACCGTATTGGAAACTCACAGGGGCAGGTCTACACTGTCCTGTGGGGTCAATATGAGTCAGCATTGACTCAATGTCAGTGGCTTTTATTTGTTTGATTTTTTTGGTTTGGTGGCACAATTGTAGTGATTAAATGTTCCGCTGCTAACCAAAAGGTCAGTAGTTTGAACCCACCAGCTGTACCATAGGGGAAGGATGTGGCAGTCTGCTTCCACAAACATTTACAGCCTTAGAAACAGTATGGGGCAGTTCTGCTCTGTTCTGGAGGGTCACCATGAGTTGAGATTGACTTGAAGGCAGTGGGAAATACATAAGGGGACTGCAAAAAATTTGTGGAAAATGAAAATATTTTGTCATGCCATTTTTTTCAGGAATTTTTTGAAGCTCCCTCATACAGTCCCCTTCATGATATAGCATTAAGCATTTGTTACTTCAGCATGTCTGCAATGTACAGTTTAGTGACATTCATTGCATTCATCATGCTGTGTAAACATCACCACTCTCAGTTTCCAGATTTTTCTATTACCCTTAACAGTTTTGCTGTTATTTTACAGATATTACCCTGAATAGGAGGTGAGTAGTGGTGGGTGGTTGGCGGCAAACTGAAAGGTGGGTGGTTTAAACCCTCCAGCAACTCTGTAGGAGAAAGATGTGACCGTCTTCTTTCCATAAAGATGGGCAGCTGCGGAAGTCCTAGGGGATCAGTTTTAGTCAGTATTGTAGGGTCGCTGTGAGTTAGGATCAACTCCATGCAACAAGTTCATTAGTTAGTTTTTTGTTTTGTCATAAATAAAGGTTTATATGATTGTTTTATATTTGTCACTAAACTGATGTGTACTTATTAACAAGTTGTTCTAAAGACTGAAGGAATCAACAATGTCGATCACTTGCTCAATATTGAGCCCTGAATTATTTTCTCAGGTTTTTCTGACTCAATATCCATCTTAAACTTACTGCCTTTCTCCTTGTCTTGATCTGCTACCTCTCCTTTACCCTTCATGTATGCATAGTCTTCTCTATTGCTTCATTTTAATTTTTTCTGTTCTATGTATGCATTTCCCTACCTTATTTAGACTGTAAAGCTGTTTGTGGAAGAGATGTTTGTCTTCTAATTTTTTACCCATGAAGAACTTGCTGTTGTGGGTGTCTAGTAGGCATTCAATAAATGCTTAGTGATGAATGAAATGCTTAAACAAATACTTTTTAATGTAAATTAATTCTACCATTTAAATTGTTAGAGGCACTCTAGTTTATAGGTGTATAGTTTTAAAGTTAGTGAAATTCAGTGCCATTTCTTTAGCAACTCATTTTAAAAAACGTATTTAAATACAAGTTTTTCATGGTGGTGCTGCTTGTAATTTTAAGTTTAATGCTAGTTGATCTCATTATTTTTCATCATTTATTTTTAAAGAAAATATAATTGTCTTCAATATATAGAGCCATTTCTTTGTCTTCTAAAGGGAGTAATAATTCTTGAGACATTAGTTAGAGCCCTTATTTTTTGGGGTGCATTGTGGCTAAAAATGTTAATGTTTTCTTCTCCCTAAACCTCCAACTTCTATAATATTTTATATTTGTTTTAACCTTATGTGTGAAGATTATTACCTTCTAAAGCTAAGATACTTTCAAATTAGACAGCTACGGTAATATATGGAAATTTGGAATTATAAACGGACTTTGTGTTAAAGCTTGCCTTTAAAAAAACTTTCTTGTGGGTCAGAACCTAGAGATTCTTAAAATAGTGTCATTTATTTGTGAATTTTATAAAAATCAAATGCAGGCACAGTAGTTGTTTCCATTTATCTAACCTCTGGTAAAGACTTAGGTATTGTATTGCTTTTCAGTCTCCTCATCTCAGATTTTAAACTGAAGGGAAAGATGTGTACTGAGAAACACTACATGTAATTAATTGTGTTATAGCAATGATAAAATTTATAATAGAATAATTACTTATGTGTGGATCACTGTCGTAGATTAATCTTACTAGTTTTGTTGTTGTTTGTATTTTCTCATGTTGACAGGGTTGCTTTAGACACTCTTGCTGCATTGCTAAAATCAAGTAAGTTTTTAAAACTAGAAATACTAGACTTTATTTCTCTGAGTATTTTATCTACCATTTTAAAGGAACTGGAGATGTAGGTTTAACCTGTCTCCCAAACCTTTTAATTATAAAGCTGATTTATGATATTTTAGTGTAAAGATAAGTTGATCATCTAGTGGAATTGGTATATATCATAATATCATTATATTGATTGACCTTTGCTTTATTTAGTAAATTAACATAATTCAAGTACATTGACTTCTTATTTTAAGCTTCTTATATAAACATAAGGCCTTGTTAGTCAAGTAAAATAATAATGTATTATATAGGAATCTTCTTGACATTTAGCTAAAGTAGTATTGAGAAATTTTACTCTGAGAAATATCTTGAACAAGCATGTGTCTCTCTGTAATACAATTTTCACTTAGAAATCTTATTAGAAGTGGATTTCTATCATAAATTTAAATTATAACATAAAAAGTATGGTTATTAATGTAAAATTTCAGATTTCATTTAGAAATAAAATATTGTTTTTTATAAAAATTGAATTATTGGAGTAAATAGATATTACCATGATATGATATCTTTCATTAGAGAGTAATCATCTAAATTTTTAAAATCTCTGAGGTACTTGGTATCTCTTTTAAATAATAATTTTCCTTAGCAGAACTAGTAGTTGCTGTTAAGTAAAAAGCACTCCCATGGAAGACTGGTTTATCACAATTAATATTTTATTAGACCACAGCAACATTTAACCTTAAAACTCTGTGTTGATGACTTCAATGTTTTCCTCTCTCCCCGGGGGAGAATAATGACAGGCAGTTCATAAAAGAAACTGTATATTCAGGGTGAGACCAACATTCCCTTAAGTTTGAATTAAGTAAAGAATTAAGTTTAATGGATGTTTGGATTGTTATAATATATGTAAGAGCCCCCCTCCCAAATGACTTATTAATTAAAAAATAGAATTAAGGTTAATTTTTAAATAAATAGAAGCATAGTATATTTTATTGGGAGTGGAATAGAATAACTATTAAAACTAAACTATTACTAAATTGTAATTTATTAGAATCACTGATAAGTCATTAATTATAAATCAATGAGAAATATAATAAAACTCTTGTAAATTTTAAGTAGTTTATAGAAACCAGTTTACACCTAAAATGTGAGATCGTCATTTTTAATTAGTCTTCTGAGAGATTCTTAATTCTTCAAAGGAGAGTAGTAGGTAAACATGTTTACTCCATCCAGAAAAAAATTTAATTTACACTTAGTATATTTTCAACTGCTCCTTAGATGTGAGGATGGTGAGACTGTACATCATGTATCTTAGGCATGCTATCTTGAGAAGAATTTCATGTTTAGTAAAAGTAAAAAGAGGAAGACCCTCACCAAGATTGGTTGACACAGTGGCTGCAACAGTGGACTCAAGCATAACAACAGTTGTGAGACTCACACAGGATTGGGCAGTATTTAGTTTCATTGTATGTGGTGTTGGTATGAGATAGAGCTGATTTTATGGTCCCTAATAACAGCCACACCACATGTATTCAAATAGGAAGAAAATATAAAAACGCACAATCACGTTTAGTAGCCACTGCATATTTTTAAATTACGGTAGCATTATGGAATATTTTATTCATTAATTTTTTTAAAAGATTGCTATTTTTTCAGGGACTGAGCAACAGTAACTGAATTTAAATGTGTAAATTGCATTACTGTATTAGATGCAAGAATTAATGAGTATGTGTACACACAATCCAGAAAGACGGGCAGCTCATTTACTATTGCTTGAATCTGGACTAGAAGCTGTAGCCTAAAGGTGAACTTAAGTTGTCTTTTAATTAGAGAACAAGAAACAGCTTAAGTGGAAGTTCTGTGATTTGAATACAAATAAAAATCCCTTTACTAATGTGCCTTAGTAGTGCTTAGTTGCAGATTGCAGGTAGTTCTATTATCCTTCCTTAAAGGGTAAACTTTTATTTGAAATATGAAACAATTTCTTATTTGATCTTTCTCATAAATACCATTTTTGTTATTATAAATTCAGTAGAAACACACAGTCTGTGAAAGGAGTTACAGTGATCATTATGACTTTTAACAAAATCATTCATAGCTATTAAGCAAAAGGCTTATGTATTGCAGTTAATGTAAACAAAAAATTTATATATACTCAAAATACATGAAACTTATGTTGTACAGTCTTAGCACACCTGACTATTCTAGGCACATTAGGGGTTTTAAAGTTTTTCCCCATTGGCAGGTCTCTTTTGGCTCTAATGTCAGATCATAGTTTTTGAAAAGGAATTAATAAGTTTGATTATCTCAGTGTCTTTATATTTCAAGTATTAGCATATTTAGGAGACTTGGTGGCACAGCACTGAAATTGCTCAGTTGTTAACTGAAAACTAGGTGCTTTGAACCCACCAGTAGCTCCATGGGAGGAAGATGTAGCAATCTGTTTTCTTAAAATCCCCTGGGGCCAGTTCTATTCTTGTTTTCTAGGGCCATTATGAATCAGCATTGACTTGATGGCAGTGGGTCTTGTGTTCAGGTTATGAACTAGGGGGTCATTTTATGAGATTATGTAGAATTTTGTATTTCTTTGCAAGGAACAACCCAACAGTCTGACATTCCACATTTGTTACTTTGCATTTGTTATAATCGACCCAACCAATGTGATGTTGTTGGCTCATTATGCTAATATGATTTGATTCCCTTGTTGCCATCTTATCAAAATAAAACGTTTTGGCTAAAATTCTTAAATCTCAAGACTTTAAAAATAATAAAATCAGGTCACATTTGTAGGTGTATTTCTTCTATTTCTACTCCAATGAAGTTTGCCATTTATAAAAAAAACTATCATGCAGTTTTCATTACATTAAAATATTCATGTCTGGAAAGCACTCTTATTGTTATCTAATTCTTACATTTCATTGCTAAAAAGTTTTGAGTATTTTAAACTTAGTATTGTTTTGGTATGGCTATATATCTAGTTATGATATAATTAAAGCAATTATTTTTAGTGAAAACACATGCAGCTTTAACTAAGAGGGAAAAGTCAAAGGCGCTCCAATGAAACATACCATTTGTAATAGCAGTTATAATGAAAATAATGTCTTTAGACACAATACTATTCACAGCTAGTGAGTTAAAGGCTAGATATTCTATTTGGTATCACCGAAGTAGACATATTGATAGGTTTTAAAATCCATGGATCTTTTGTTAGTATGAACCTTTAAGAAAGTGTAACTATTTTCATTTTGAGTATATTTTCATATATGTAAACCACTAAACAAAATACAAAAAGGTTTATTGAAAAGGTGATATTTTGCCCTGTAGAACATCATATATAGGTAAGTCAAAAAGTATTGCTACCAGAGGTCTAGTTCATACACGTATAGGCTTATCTGAAGCAGCATGTGTTTCAACATGTCTTTGTAATCAATGGATGACTACAGACAATTTTTCTAAGTAATGCACTTGAGTTAATCTCATTTGGGTACCTTATAAAGAAGAGAAAGGGTACTTTTTGTGCCAGTGGGGTTAAAAAAGATTTTGAGGTCAGGGCTAATACCAAGTCTTACCAGAACACCAGTGGATCTTCCTAAGTAATTGAAGCTTTGCCACAAGTTAATGGGAAAGGTGCTCTACCTGAAACAACAGTTTTTAGTTGGATCAAGTATTTTCAGGAAGGTCAGGAAGACTTCAAAGATGAGCCGAAACAGGGAAGACTGTCAGCTTTGACAAATAAACTGCAGATGAAGTCCAGAAACTGGTTGAAGAAGATGGTAGAATTATCACTGATGCAGTAGCTACTGAAGATAGGATCTCACATGTTGGGTCTTTAAATTTAAAAAAAATTATTTTATTGGGTGCTTGTACAGTTCTTATCACAATCCATATATACATCCATTGTGTCAAGCACATATGTACATTCGCTGCCCTCATCATTCTCACAACATTTGCCTTCTACTCTAGCCCCTAATATCAGTTGCCCATTTCCCTTCTCCCTTCCTCCCCCTTCCCTCATGAACCCTCCATAATTCACAAATCATTGTTGTTTTTTCATCGGTCTTTTACATTTTAAGGTAACATTTGTTCTTAGCAAGCTATCAACTTGATAGGTGACAGAAACACTGGGAGCTGATCTTTTCATTAGTCTTTTAAGCTAATCAGAAGCTAATGAAGTTGATTTGGGGGGATGAGTTGTAATAAGGGATGAGTGTTGGATTTACCAAAGTATACAGAGAGGCAGGTTCAATCAAAACAGTGGCTTCTAAACAAATCTGTTAGATTAGTTAAACCCAAGGCAGAGAGGTCAACTCAGAAGGTTATGGTGACTGTTTTTTTGACTCCTAAGGAATAATCTTTGGAGACTTTTATCAAAGGACTCAGGACGACAACAGGGGCTTATTAGGGTTGTAATAGCTACTGTTTTCAGAAAATTGAAGGTTGCATTGATGGGGAAAAGACCAGGAAAGTTAAACCAAGCAATCTTTCTCCCATCATGGCAATGCACCTGCTCATTCTTATAGGGTAGCAATGGCTGTCCTGTGAGAATTTCTTTTGAAAACCTTATCCCATCTACTCTACATCCCAAGTCTTACCCCTTCAGACTTCTTTTGTTCGAAACTCAGAATAATAGAAGAGATCAGACCTACTGTTGGGTAGGTGGGACCCCTGGGCCTATGACCCTTAGTGACCCTTCAGGTCTGGGACTGAACTCATCCCTATGATAGAATAATCAGCCTTTTCAGATCAAAAGGGCAGCATTTATCCAATGACAAAGTTCAGAGGGTTCAGAGAGAAGGAGGAGTAGAAACAGGAAAGCAGAATAAGTGATAGTATGTTGAGGGCATTGCAATAGATGAAGCAAAGTGTATGGTTTGTTGAATGCAATACGATTTATTCTGTAAACTTTCCCTTAATTCACCATAAAACACTAAAAAGCAAAAAGCAAACCCCAGCAACTTCTTTTTGTTCCTAAAACTCTAAGGAAGATCACTTGTGCCCTCTAAGCGTGCCAAAATTGCCATTTTGACATTGTATAAATTGAAGAGCCCAGAATTCTTGGGAGGTAAGGTTAGAGAGGTGGAAATGCTGTCTTGAAACACTGTCTCCAGACACCTACAGATGTCCATAAAGGACGTGTTGAGCAATTCTTCAATGAGGATTTCTGTGATTCTGTAACAATACTCTCTGACTTACTCTCATATTTATTGTAGTAAAAACATTTAAGTGTGTGTATGCTATGGACACCATGAGTCAGAATAGACTCAATGGTAGTGAGTGATAGTGATTTATTTTGAGAAAAAATACGAATTTATTGTAACATTGAGGTGATTATTTAAAACTTTATTATATTTTCTCATCATCTTTTTAATATTCTTTGATAATTTTTTTTGTTAAAGAAACTAATGCCAGGAGAGCTGTAGACAGAGGATATGTCCAGGTGCTTTTAACAATTTATGTAGATTGGCATCGTCATGATAATCGGCATAGAAACATGCTCATTCGGAAAGGAATCCTACAGAGTTTGAAAAGTGTTACAAACATCAAGCTGGGGAGAAAAGCATTTATTGATGCCAATGGAATGAAAATTCTGTATAACACTTCACAAGTGAGTTTTTTACTTCTTACTGTGATTATGTACTAATGATATGATTTGGTTCTAAAGAAGGCCAAATTGGTGTTACAGATGCTTAGAGAAGTAAAAATAGTATAAGTATATTTAAACATATCTTAAAACCAAAATCCATTTCTCACATGGGATCTCACACTGAGTTGGAGAAACTTGTCAGCGCACATCTCTGCAATGTGAGATTTCTTCTCCTTGACCCACCCTGGGAAAGGGAAGATGTGTATCCACTGAGCATGAAGGGAGCTAACGTAGCCATATTTTTACAGATAGACCATTGATGTACTGTTGCCCTCAGCAGGTATTTTGGAATCTCTACCACTGATAATGCAGTTCATGTGTTTCTGAGTGTTCTACTTGCTTTGCTGCTGGATAGAGTCTTTTCAGATAGACAAGGTACACAAGTGAAACCTGTAGTTGAGGATACTGGGTCTGCCAGGCCTCTTAAGTGTAAACACCCTTGCTAGCATCTTTGACCAAGTCTTAATAGCATATGTAGAAAACTGTCAGCTATGGGGACTGGGGAATGCTAGAATGCAGTCCTTTTGTTGCATAAAAGGCTGTAATTATTAGAAAAAAATCCTGTTGAGAATTCCAGTTATTTTTCTGGCTGCTATTTGCATTACGTAATATAAACATTTTTTTCCTTCATGCCAGTGATTAAGATACTTGAGCTCATTTTATGTTTACCTTAAATTTTCTCTCTTTCAGGACAATAGCTGTTTTTTTCTTTTTATTATTCTTGCAACAGAGTTGAATGTTTAGTATATGAGCAGACAGTAAAGTATTTGGAGCCAGAAACTCTGGATGACTGGGTTTATGCTTTTAACCATTGCTGAGGTTTAATTTCTTCTCTGTTTAAAGTGTCAGCTGTAAAAATAGGTATTAAAAAGTTACCAGCATATCAAAGTATCATTTAAGTGATAATTGTTAATTATATTAGTATATGTTATAGTTCCATATCTACTATTCATTTTGATCCTTTTTGAGATTTAGAGTCCAGGACAGCAAATTAATCTCTTAAAACTTAAAATAATGATTTTCAGTTTAATGTTTTATAAGTTGAACAGCCAACTTATTAGACAGTGATAACTGATGTAGCTCTAAGAAGGACAAGGCTGAATATATATTACCTCTGTTCCTTTTATTTCTTATACCTTTCCTTTTCCTTTCTCCTCTTAAATTTTGCTCTTTAATCTTTATGCTCAGGCTTGCTAAGTCTCCCCAAGTCATTTATAGTTATTACTTAATACTTTCAATGACTTTTAGCACCAATTATGATGCTAAGTTCTCCTTAGTGAAGATATTCAAGGCAGAATACTACTAAATTTTCAACATGAAGTTTCTTCTTCTTTTCTTTTTTTAAACACAGGAATGCTTGGCAGTCAGGACCCTTGATCCCCTTGTCAACACTTCTAGTCTGATAATGAGGAAGTGTTTCCCTAAAAATCGCCTGCCACTCCCAACAATTAAAAGTTCATTCCATTTCCAGTTGCCAGTCATTCCTGTGACTGGTCCTGTGGCCCAGCTCTACAGTTTACCCCCTGAAGGTAGGCCTGCGTGGTGACTGCTGCCTTCCGCTACTCTTACATTGTGCGATGCTGTTGATTTGTGTTCAACTCCTTAGTGAAAGATGGCTTTAATGCACATGAGAAACCGTCATGTTTTATTCTAGTTTGTATTTAAGTGTAATGAAGTATATTTAGCAACTTGGGATGTGTCACATACATGGAAATGTGAGCTGTGAAAAAAATTATATAACTACATACTGTGCTAGTTTTAATATAACGTTTGAAAGCACAGGAATATAAACATTAAATGCTTAGGAAATTATGTTTGTTTCACATTTATAACTTTTAAATGAACTTTAATTTCTTAAGTTAAAAAAACTCAGAAAACTGATTACCAAGAGTGTTCTGATTTAATGCTAAGAAATAGTTGGATATAATTTACTTGAATGAAAATAGGAAAACTTTTTTTTCTTTTTAAAATCATTTTATTGGGGGCTCGTGCAACTCATCACAATGAAAATAGGAAAATTTTATGGGTAAATTCATTGACATTTTTCCATACAATATTGTAAACATATAGTAGAAGGAAGTAACAGTTCAAACTTTGTTATTGTGAGCAATAGTGTAATTTAGTTGATTGAGTAGTAAGATGGAAAAGAAAAAATAACCTAAGTTGTTAATAGAATTTCTGTATTGTAGTTTTCCTTCTTGGTAATTGATCTCTTTTAGAAAAATAAGAGGAGGATCTTTATATGTAAAAGTAATTTAAAAAAATGTGATTTAAAATACCTTTTGCATAATTATAATCAATTTTATTATCCTTAATGTACATTTATAAGTGGCATGTTGATAAATTTCTCAATATGCCATGTTGCACTATTACAATTGTATTTTAAAAATATTTTAAAATAACAATGTCAGTCTTGAAAATCTCAGAGAACCAATTGTAAAACATGACTGAAAGGAAATAAAACTTCCATAAAGTACTAGTTATAAGGACAGTGAATAAAATGTAGTAGCTTTCCTATATATATGTATATGTTTTAATAAAAATCAGTTAGAAAATATAAAGGAAAGTAACCCCCCTCCCAATCTTATTTTTTTTTCTAAACCAGTTTATTAGGAGCTAATCCAGACATCCTACCGTTCCATAGTTCAGTTATATCAAGCAGTGTTGTACAAGTGCAACCAAAATCTGTGTCACCATTTTCTTCCTTCTAGAACTCCTTGATATTGAAAGTAATTCTTTGGAATATACTTTGAATATCATTATAGAAGTGCTGGCATTCCTTTAATGGTTATAGCATATAGATATAGTATAATTTAACTAATCTCATATTGAAAGGTATTTTCCCAAAATTCTTAGAGCAATTAAATTATAAATGAATTATAAATCAATCAATCAAGGGTGTTCTTAAAACTAACAATAAGAATAGATTTTTATTCCTGAGTTTAATTTTTTTAAAATTAATTTATCGGGGGCTTGTACAACTCATCATAATCCATACATATATCCATTGTGTCAAGCACATTTGTACATTTGTTGCCATCATCATTCTCAAACCATTTTCTTTCTACTTGAGTCCTTGTTATCACCTATTTATTTTTTTCCCTACCTCCCCACCCCCTCCCTCACGAACCCTGAGTTTAATTTTATGATTAAGCTATGATAATATTCATTCTTAGTAATGGTAGAAGATAGTTCATTAGAATGGAAAAGAAGGTCTCAGATACTCTTAATGTGACATTATGACATTCCCTACCTGGATTGTAAGTCCAATGGAAAATACCACTATGAAGAAAAATATTTGAGAGTTTCAGTAAAAATACAGCACACACACACTCTCGGAATTGATGCTGAATTACATTTTGTCCTCTCCCCATCCAGGCAGCCATCTTGTTTGCAATAGAATAATCTGATTTCTGTCCCATTCTTATTGCCCTTGTCCCCCCACCCATGACTGATTGCTGCTGGTAGGACATTGTGGATAACCCAAGTTACCATATACAATACGAACACTTAATTTCTCTTGTCCTCATTGGCTCTCTTCCCAAAGAGAATGTAAGGACATTTGGTAATTGAGTTAAGCTGAATAAATTGAGCTACTGTTAGAACGAGGCAGCGCGGTGACTCAGAAACAGTAATAACAGACATTTTTATAGCATATATTTTTAGCCTGGCATTTTACATATGAGGGGCCTTTAAAAACTTCGTGGAAATGAATTGAAAAGATCCTGGATTTTTTTTCACCAATTCATTGGATCCCTTTCTTAAATTACCCCGTAGTGTGCACTATGAGGATCTTAGGTTTGTAGATGAAGAAACCGAGACACAGAGAGTTTTAATAACTTGGCCAAACTTCTAAAGTGTGGGTTTGAACCTTGGGTTTGATATTCTGTCTTCATAGCCCGTGCTCTTCTTTATTTTGTTGTATACATTACTTCAAGATAGATATTTCTTTATTCCTCACTTGTCAGTCCATATGGTAGGCAGGTAGGTGATGCTGAACAGCAGGCTTCTGTCCCTCTATGTCAGTGGTTCTCAACCTTCCTAATGCCGTGACCCTTTAATACAGTACCTCATGTTGTGGTGACCCCCAGCCATAAAATTGCTTTCATTACTACTTCAAAACTAATTTTGCTACTGTTATGAATCATAATGTAAATATCTGATATGCAGGATGTATTTTCTTTTTTTTTTAGTTAGTTTTTTTTAAATCGTTTTATCAGGGGCTCATACAACTCTTATCACAATCCATACATACATCAATTGTGTAAAGCACATTTGTACATTCATTACCCTCATCATTCTCAAAACATTTTCTCTCCACTTAAGCCCCCTGCATTAGGTCCTAATTTTTCCCGTTCCTCCCCGCTCCCCCCTCCCTCATGAGCCCTTGATAATTTATGAATTGTTATTTTGTCATATCTTGCCCTGAACGACGTCTCCCTCCACCCACTTTTCTGTTGTCCGTCCCCCAGGAGGAGGTCACCCTTGTATGTTCTATGAGAAAATGAAAACAGAAAAGGCAAACAATGTCTCAGTCTTATGAAAATAGTTTTGACCTCATGCCCGACATCCACAAATCAGTTTAAGAACCTCTGAGCTAAGTTACAGTGTCAGCATAAACAAACTCAACAATCCCCTTGGCTTATCCAACACAAAAGTTTTAACTGTTACTAAACATTACTTATTTAATACAAGCCTGGGCAGGAGCCTACCAAAAGCCTTCAAGCTCAGTCACTCGGCGGGGCCCAAGCTGCTACCAAAAACTCTAGACTCACTGCCATCAAATCTGGAACCCAACAGGACAGAGTAGAACTATTTCTGAAACTGTAAATCTTTACAGGAGAAGAAAGCTTCATCTTTCCCCAGCAGGCTGCTACGAAGAAAATTTAAACAAGTTCATAACAGCCAAGATATGCCTTTGAGCATATCTCCCCTGAATTTCAAGAACATCCGAAGAACAGATTTGACACACAACACTAATCAAGAAGATTTGGCTCTCTTTTACTCCACCCCTGGTCAGAGGCAGGTAGATGTCACAAATTAAAACACAACAAGAAATAAAAGCTTGTAGTTAGTTCAAGGATCGTTGGCCTTTAGGAGTGTTTTCTAGTCCAGTCTGTTGGGGCACCATGCCCTGGCCCACAAGTCTGCCTTCTGCATTCCCTGGGGACCTTGCACCATTCCCTTGCTGTTCCACTGCACTCCCCCAGTGCAGGGGCATTATGTCTCATAGTGGGGCTGGCCATGTGTCCCTCTCTGTGGACTGGCTACTCTAATTGGGGTCATCGTCCTCAAAGCCTGGTGGGCGAGGATGTGCTCCAGTCTCCCCTCCTCCCCTGTAATCTACTTCTGTGTGTTCCGATCAGATATGTCCCTCTCCCGGAGCTGCAGTTTCAGTGCTGTCCTTTGAAATAAATTCTTCTGGGGGGGAGGGGCAGGCATCCACTTAGTATTTGGGACTGGGGCCAGCCCCCCAGACCTCTCCACTGGCTCCCTACTCCACACCGGCATCTTGAATTCACAGCGTGGAGCACTGGGTTGAAGTCTGGTCCTTCTTTTCCTGTGAAGATATAAACAATACCCTCCCCTTGGGTGGGTTAGTGCCCTGTGTCCCCGCTACCCATTTCTTCCTTATTTTCATCTTTTTTTTGGTTCCCTTTCCCCACCTCCTCTCCAGTTGTCTATTATGTGCATCTCTGCATTTGATCTGGTCCCAGCCTTACTACCCTATCCTCACCCCAAGAATGTTTGTATACAGTAGCTTTTTCTCTGTGTCCATTTTGCTTTTTTTTTTTTTAACGCTTACCTCAGCGGACTCATGTTGTACTTGTCCTTTTGTGCCTGACTTACTTCACTTAGCATGATTTTCTCCAGCGCTTCCCATGTAGCGATGTGCTTCATACGTTCATCACTGCTTTTTAGCGATGCGTAGTACTCCATTGTACGTATGTACCACAGTTTTTTAATCCAAGTGTCAGTTGATGGAAATTTGGGTTGATTCCAACTCATTGCAATTGTGAACTGTGCCGCAGTGAACATTGGAGCACAGATGTCTGGCCTTGGTTTGTTTCTTGGCTCTTCTGGGTATATGCAGAGTAGGGGGATTGCTGGGTCGTATGGTAACTCAATTTCCATCTGTTTTAGATATCGCCAGTTCAATGTCCATAGTGGTTGTACATACTTACAAGTCCACCAGCAGTGGTTGAGAGTTCCTATCTCCCCACAGCCCCTCCAACACTTGCTTTCTGATTTTTTGAATTGGGCTACCTTTGAGGGTGTTAGGTGGTACCTCATTGTTGTTTTAATTTGCATTTCTCTTATGGCTAAAGATCGAAAACATTTTCTCATATGTTTGTTGGCCATTTGGATTTCTGCCTCTGTGAAGCTTCTGTTCAAGTCCTTTGCCCACCTCTCAAGTGGGTAATTAGTTTTTTTCTTTTTGGAAGCTAATAGAGTATTGTAGATTTTAGTAATAAGGCCTTTGTCTGATGTGTCATTGTTAAAGATGCTTTCCCAGTCCATGGACTCTCTTATTACTCTCTTGGTGAATTCTTTCGATGTAAACAGGTGTTTTATCTTCAGTATATCCCATTTGTCAATTTGTGCCTCCTCTGTGTTTGTGTCCTTCCCTATTTCTGATAGCCTATGTATTCCCTGTGCTAAAGTTCTCAAGTTGGCCCCAATTCCCTCATTGATGGCCCTAATAGTTTGGGGTTTAACTTTAAGCTATGTGATCCACCTTGAGTTTATTCTTGTGCATGGAGTAAGATAAAGGTCTTGCTTCATTTTTCTGCAGGTAAATATCCATTTTTCCAGTACCACTTGTTAAAAAGGGCATCACCTTCCCATTTGATATTTTTGGGGCCCTTATCAAAGATCAGTTGTCTGTATGCTGATGATTTTATTTCTGGCATTTCAGTTCTTTTCCATTGGTCTGAGTATCTGTCATTGTACCAATACCACGCGGTTTTGACAACTGTGGCTGTATAGTATGTGCTAAAGTCAGGTAAAGCAAGCCCTCCCACTGTGTCCTTCTTCTTGAGGAGTTCTCTCCTAATTTTGGGTTTCTTCCCTGTCCATATGAAGTTGGTAATCAGTTTTTCCATTTCTTTGAAGAAAGATGAGGGTAATTGTATCAGGATTGCATTAAACTTATATAGTGCCTTTGGCAGAACTGCTATCTTGACTATATTGAGTCTTCCAATCCACGAACATGGGATATTCTTCCATTTGTTGAGGTCGCCCTTGGTTTCTTGTAATATTGTTCTGTAGTTTTCCCCATATAGATCTTTTGTTCTTCTAGTCAAGTATGTACCACCTTTTTGATCGCAGAATGTATTTTAATTGAACATAATTAAAGCATAGTGATTAATCACAAAAACAACATAGTTACGATTGTGAAATATTCATTTCTAAGTACAAATAAATGAAATTTTGTCTTGAAGCACGGTGTAGTATGGGTGATAGTCTTCTTGCCGGGTACTCATATGTGGGTGTATCTGCATGTGGGTGGATCAACCTGGAGACAGATAGAGGAGCGGTGTCTTGGTTCCTAAGGCCATTGGAAACATGTGTTTTCTGATGGTCGTGGACGAACCCTGTAAAAGGGTCCTTCCACCCTCAAAGGGGTTGTGACCCATAGGTTGAGAACTGCTGTGCTAGGTCATTCAAAGAAATGGGTTATTTATTTTGTTTTTCTTTGTGGTTTTTGTTGTCTTCCTCATGTGCATGTGGGTAATGGGAATGAAAGGATTTCTCCAGGATGATTTTCTAAAGAAAGCTAACATAAATTTACATGTATAACTTCGCCTTACCGTGGCTAAAAATTGGTTATTGGGCTATAACGACTACAATGAAGTTGGAATCTATAGTGTTTAGCTAAAAATCACGGAGTCTGTTTCTAAATGGAATGAGAGTAGAGCAGATACTAGGACAGTTAATCTTTGTTACAAGTTACTAGAATTTAACTAGAATTAAAAATAAAAAAGCATTTTAAAAAATCCTCTCTTGCATTTGAAGAAATTATTACATATATGAGAAGTCTCCAAGTGCTCTTCTGCTCTTCTTCCCAGCCCCCACCTCCGGTCATTCTTTCCTTATCTTTTTACATTTTACTTTCTGAACTTTTCTCTAATAAATACTTTCTTCATCCCCATTTCTGCTATGTTAATTGAGACAGCTATGGTCTTTTCTTCTATTAATTGGTCTCACTCCATTCATATTCTCTCTCTCACACCTGTCAGAGGGATATTTTGAAAATTCAAATTTAACTAAGCGATTCCTCTCTTGAAAATCTACAGCACTTACCTACTGTAGGTTAAAAATTGAGATATGTGGGCCTATTCTAAACCCTTTATTTTCTCACTTCATTTATTTATTTTTCACCAAACTTAATTTTTTTACTGTGGTAAAAATACAGATCACAAAATATTTGCGATGTCATGTATAAATATGCTTGATAAAATTGATGTATGGAATTTTATAAGAGCTGTAAGAGCCCCCAATAAAATGATGAAAAAAATTTTCCACATCAGCATTTTTAGCTTTATATAGTTCAGTGGCATTAATTGTGTTCATCATGCAGTACAACTCTCATCATTTGTTTCCAAATTGTTGCGTACTCTTTTTTAGTAGTACAATATTATTATTTTTGAAAATTTATTATTAATTGGGATTGAATACATATATCATTCCATAGTTCAATCACATCAAGTAGAATTGTACAATTGCTACTACAGTTTCCAGACTTTCTTTTTCTTGAGATTATGTTACATGTTTTTCCATTTTTCAGTATATGATAGATGATAGATGAACCTATGGGGACATTTTCTCATTTTAATTGCTTGTTCTTATCAAGCCTGTACATCTTAGTCACACTAATTTCCATTTTCCAAAGATTACTTCTCACTTTCTTATCTGAGCAATGTTATTTCTTCTTCCTAAAAGTCATTCTCACTCACTCATACTATCTAGAGCTCTACACTTTCTGCAAAATACTCCTTCGATCTTAACTGTTCTATGATGTTATCATTACTGATCAACCCTGGGTTCCCAGCAGTTTGCATTTAGTCATTCCATTCTGGTGTATCAGTAACAAATTTCAAAAACCAACACTAAACATTTTTTTAATCACATTAACAATATAATGGTTGGATTACAAAACAGGCAACATACATGAAGGATATCCACAAATGACAGAAGCAGTTAAAATACATAAGTTGTATTGGTAAATATTGAACACAGCAAAGTGAAGGAACCTTGCTTAAGCTTGAGTCAGAGTTTGAAGGCTACATTATATAAAATTTTAGTAAAGGATGTTAGTGAATTAATAATAAAATCAGAAGGTTAGACTCAAAATGGAATATTTTTGGCAACTCTATAAATTGGAAGGAAACCTTCTTTCTTTATTAGAACTAACCTTGTATTTGTAGGAGTAGGTTGCAAAGTTCATTCCTATAGATGATTTGAAATGGTCCGTGTCATTTAGATGCCCACGTGGTGAAATCTCAGGTATTGTTCACTTGTTTCCAGAATATTTTAGAAAACAGCTGGATCTCAACTGGAAACTGCTGACTTAATGAGAAATAAAGTTTGGGGATCAATTTAAAGAATGGGTTCCCAAATTTATTTGGCCTACTGCCTCTTTTCAGGGGAAAAAAAGAAAGAAAGAAAGATTACCCAGGGCCCCCCGGTAATTAGAAACATTTGTACTATAGCTCTTAATTCAGGATAAAATGTAGACATCTGTCTTTGCAGCCCCCCTCTGATCATTTCAGTACCTTCTCTGCCTCCCCAAGGGCCTGTATCACCCACTTTGGGAAACACTTCCTGGTAGTGAGTGTGGTTTTTTTTTTTTTAATCTACACCACAGGGCAATAAGGGAATTTTGTTCATCTTAGGTTTATATTCAAGAGTAATAAAATTTTGAAATATATGTTTGAGTTAGTGTTTTATCTTCTGTATCACGATTACTTACTCATCCCTTTCTACGATTAATCTCATGAACTCTGGAAGGTGGGAGCGATATATCTTTTTAAAATTCATATAGCACATAATTATTCGTAGTGCATTCTGCAGTGTTGTAAGACAGGATAGTCATTGAAACAAATAAATAGGAGATAAATTGTAAAAGGATGCAGTGAGTTATTGAAATTTATCACTAACAGGAAACAGGATGTTTTGTTCTGACAGGTGCACCATCTGACTTTAATTTTATTGTTGTAAAAAATATATGTAACATTTGCTATTCACTATTTTTTGGGTGTACAATTTAGTAATGTCAATTACTTAAGTCATGTTGGGCAACAATCAGTCATAGTCCTTGGGTAATTTCCCATCACCATAAACAAGAACTCACTGATTTCAAACAATGGCATCTTCCTCCTTCACCCCTGTCCCTGGTTTCTATACACTCGTCTGTTTTTGTTGTTTTATGTGAGATCATACAAAATTTGTCCTTTAGTGACTGACCTCCCTCGATGAGTATAAGACTTTCAAGGTTCATCTATGTTATAGCATGGATCCAGACTTATTTTTAAGAAACTGAGAACATCAATAAACATCAATTGAATTTTGTACTGCTTTCCAATTTTTAGGGACAAAGACTTACTCCCTATTTTAGGGAGAAATATTTACTCGCGTAGATATTTACAATCTCGAAAACTCACAGGGGCAGTTCTCCCTTGTTTTACAGTGTCACTATGAGTCGGAATCGGATCAATGGCAGTGGGTCCCAACTTAATACTTGCATTAGTTTGATTGGCATTTTTCCTGTAAGAAACCTTACTTACTTATTTTTGTGATTGAAAATGCTTCATATATATAACTTGGTACTTTGAGTGTGCGTGTTGTAGAATGCTTACCTTTGGACTTCTTAAAACTCATTTTTTATTACAGTGGATGATGTAGTAGATGAAAGTGATGACAACGATGATGTAGATTTAGAAGCTGAAAATGAAACTGAAAATGAAGATGACTTAGATCAAAAATTTAAGGTTAGTATACAGTTATGTTATCAACAGCTTCATTAAGCAATAGCACGGCTTCATCTTACATACTTGGACATTTTGTCAGAAATGACTAGTCCCAGTAGATCTATGTACATATATGTTAAGTATTTAAGTAGCAGCCCGACATTGGGCCTCTACTCAAGTACTCCCTCAACACAAGAGTACTTTGTTCTAATAACCTGTCATTCTGTAATGCTCACCTTCCCCATATGATTGCTGAAGAGAAATGGGTGCATAAGCAAATGTGACAAAAGCTTGATGGTGCCCAGCTATAAAAAATATTGTATCTGGGGTTTTAAAGACTTGAAGGTAAACAAGCGGCCATCTAACTCAGAAGCAACAAAGCCCACATGGAAGAAGCACACCAGCCTGCATGATCATGAGGTGTTGATGGGATCAGGTAACAGGCATCAAAGACTCAGAACCAAAAATCCTATCAATGTGAATAAGGGGGAAGGTGGAGTGGAGACCCAAAGTCTATCTGTAGACAATTGGACATCCCCTCACAGAAGGGTCACAGGGAGGAGATGAGCCAGTCAGAGTGAGTATAGCACTGATGAAACATACAATTTACCTCTAGTTCTTTAATGCTTCCTCTCCCCCATTATCATGACCCCAATTCTACCTTACAAATCTGGCTAGACCAGAGCATGTATATGGTTACAGATAAGAGCTCCCAACACAGGGAATCCAGGACAGATAAACCCCTCAGGACCAGTAATGAGAGTAGGGATACCAGGAGGGTAAGGGGAAGATGGGGGCAGAAAGGGGTAAACAATCACAATGATCTACATATAACCTCTTCCCAGGGTGATGGATAACAGAAAAGTGGGTGAAGGGAGACATCAGTCAGTGTAAGACATGAAAAAAAATAATAATTTATAAATTATTAAGGGTTCATGAGGGCAGGAGGGCGGAGGAGTGGGGGGGTGAGCTATTACCAAGGGCTTAAGTAGAAAGAAAATGTTTTCAAAATGATGGCAACAAATGTACAATTGTGCTTGACACAATCAATGTATGTATGGATTGTGATAAGAGCTGTACGAGTCCCCAATAAAATGATTTTAAAAACTCCAAAAACCAACTTTCTTCTAATTCAGTGGTTTTCAACCTTCCTAATGCTATGACCCTTTAATACAGTTCCTCAAGTGGTGACCCCCAACCATAAAATTATTCTTGTTGCTACTTCATAACTGTAATTTTGATACTGTTATGAATCATAACATAAGTATCTGATAGGCAGGATGTATTCTCATTGTTACAAATCAAACATAAAGCATAGTGATTAATCAAAAAACAATATGTAATTATATGATATGAAATATTTATTTCTAATTACAAATAAGTGAAATTTTGTCTTGAAGCATTGTGTAGCGTGGGTAACAGTCTTCACGTTGGGTACTCGTATGTGGGCCTATCTGCCTGTGGGTGGACCCGTCTGGAGACAGATAGGGGAACGGAAATATGTGTTTTCCTATGGTCTTAGGCGACCTCTGTGAAAGAACCCCCAAAAGAGTTGCGACCCCCAGGTTGAGAACCATTGCTCTAGTTTTTTAATGCTTCCTCTCACCACTATCATGACCCCAATTGTACCTTACAAGTCCAGCGAGACCAGAGTATGTACATGGGTACAAATAAGAGCTCACAACACTGGGAATCCAGGACAGATAAACCCCTAAGGACCAATAATGAGAGTAGCAACACCAGGAAGGTGTTGGGTAAGATCAGGGGACAAAGGGAACCAATCACAATGATCTACATATAACTCCTTCCCCAGGGGGACAGACAACAGAAAAGTGGGTGAAGGGAGACATCGGTCATTGTAAGACATCAAAATAACAATCATTTATAAATTTTCAAGGGTTCATGAGGGAGGGAGGAAATGATCTGATACCAAGGGCTCAAGTTGAAAGAAAATGTTTTGATGATGATGGCAACATATGTTCAAATGTGCATGATACGTTGTATGTATGTATTGTGATAGGAGCTGTATGAGCCCCCAATAATATGATAAAAAAAAAAAAGGTTAGTCCCTGGAGAAGGCCATCATGCTTGGTAAAATGGAGGGGCAAAAAAAGCCCATAGGGTCTTTCCTTGGTTGTAATCTTTATTCGATCAGATCACCAGGTCTTCTCTCTTACGGAACTGGTGAGTAGGTTCGGACCCCCTAACGTTTTGATTTGCAGCTCAGTTGTGTCACTAGGGCTTCTATTAATTTACTCAACCACCCACATCTTTTTGTTGCAGATGACTTCAAAAAAGCTAACGAGGATGGACAAGTAGTGTTGCTTTGAAATTACTCGTCTGGGAAGGACCAGAAAGTAACTTACTTTTCTCTTACCAGGCAGATTTAATCAGATTTTTCTGACTTAGATTTTGGAAGAATTCCAAGTGAGAATCTATTGTAGCAACTTATTCCAAAACATAATATCACCCAGCATCTTTTGAGGATACAAAAATAGTAGGGAAGAGATTTTTGTGAGACTATTGTTGACATAGTAAGTCATAGGGTTCAGTTAATTGGACAAGGAGATGGATGAGTGTATTAATTGATTTGAGAAAGAGATAATATAATTGTCATATTACACGAAATGTTAGGTAAAAGTAGCTGTTAAGTTTTCAGAATTTTATTGTACCTCAGGAAGTTGACTAATGTGTTATAGTTTGCTTTTCAGTGGTAGAGAAGACCGCTTTAGCTTTTAGAAAAATGATATCTGGTCTCTTTAATTTGCCAGCTGCTCGGGTTATTGCTGTTTTTGTTTGTTTGGTTGTGTGTGTGTGTGTGTGTGTGTATATATATATATATATATATTTTTTTTTTTTTTTTTGCTGAGAAGAGGGACATAATTTTACTCACTGTTGGGGCTTTTTTGTCTTAGGGTACTACATCAAAATCAGAAGACGTTTGACTGCTGGCATAGTGGGCTACATGTTGGGCTTCTAACCACAAGGTCAGCAGTTTAAAATCCTCAGCGACTCCGTGGAAGAAAGATGAGGCTTTCTACTCCAGTAAAGAGTTAGAGTCTCAGAAACCCATAGGGGCAGTCAGAATCAACTCGATGGCAGTGAATTTGGAGTTTGGCGACTTTTTAGTAGAAGATATCTAAGCATTTCCATTATTGCCAAGTTTGATCATAAGGGCAGGCTATGGCACATTTGCCAAGTAGAACAGATTAGCCAGTCTGGACCAACTGATGGCCTGTGTCCTGGCCTCCAGAAGCTGTGGAGAAACCAACTGGGGCCACTATGAGTTGGAATCAACTCGATGGCAGTGAGTTTGGTTTTGGTTGGCTATTTGGATTCTTTATATGTGTTTGCGGTAATAAGCTTTTGAGATTTTGAGTCTATAAGTGCAAAATTGTTTTTTAAGAAAAAACTTTCTGATATGTGCTATATACTTTCGCATCTATCAAAACTACTTATGTTGAATAAAATTTACTTAGGAACCCTGGTGGCACTGTGAGATAAACATTGGGTTGCTAACTCAAAAGTTGGTGGTTCAAACGCAACAGATCCTCTTTGGGAGAAAGATGAGGCTATCTGTTCCCATTAAGATTTATAGTATCGGCTCCTCCCTGAGACCCCTCTGCAAAGGGGTCTCCAGTAGCCTGCTAATGGGCTTTGGGTCTCCACTCCGCACTCCCCCCATCATTCACTATGGTAAAATTTTTTGTTCTGATGATGCCTTATACCTGATCCCTTTGACACCTCGTGATCGCATAGGCTGGTGTGTTTCTTCCTTGTGGGCTTTGTTGCTTCTGAGCTTGATGGCCGCTTGATTACCTTCAAGCCTTTAAGACCCCAGATGCTATACTTTTTGATAGCCGGGCACCATCAGCTTTCTTCACCACATTTGCTTATGCACCCATTTGTCTTCAGTGATCCCTTCGACAGAGCCAGTCAGGGGGCGATGTAGCAACGATGAAAAATACAACTTTCCTCTAGTTCCTAAATATTCCTCCCCACTCCTACTATCATGATATGAATTCTACCTTGCAAGTCTGGCTAGACCAGAGGATGTACACTGGTACAGATAGGAACTGGAAATCCAGGGAATCCAGGGAGGATGATCCCTACAGGACCAGTGGTGTGAGTGGTGATACTGGGAGGGTAGAGGGAGAATGGGTTGGAAAGAGGGAACCGATTACAAGGAACTGTATGTGACCTCCTCCCTGGGGGGTGGACAACAGAAAAGTGGGTGAAAGGAGATGTTGTTCAGGGCAAGATATGACAAAATAACAATTTATAAATTATCAAGGGCTCATGAGGGAGGGGGGAATGGGGAGGGAGGGGAAAAGTGAAGACCTAATGCCGGGGGCTTAAGGGGAGAGGAAATGTTTTGAGAATGATGTGGGCAATGAATGTACAAATGCGTTTTACACAATTGATGTATGTATGGATTGTGATGAGTTTTATGAGCCCCTAAAAAAAAGGAAAAAAAAAGACAAGCAATGCAGAAAGAACGAACCAGGAAGAAGACAGAAAGTGATAGAAAAAAGTACAGACCTTATAATGGTCTTTTATCAGGTTTTAGTGGAAACAGTAAGGGTGATTTTGCAGTTAATCATAAAGCATTGTTTTTATGTAGTGGCCTGCAAAACTTTCATGGTATAAATAAAGCTGTTTGGAAGAACTTGGCAGAAATTGCTTCCACCAGAACAACAACAACAACAACAAAAGATTTACAGTATCGGAAGCCCTGTATAGTGTTGCTGTGAGTTAGAACAATAGTGGGCATGACTGTTTCATTCTTCATGGCTCAGGGTTTTCATTAAAATTATGCTATTTTGATGACTGTATGCAAAGACAGAACTTGGTGGGGAAATACAATTCAATTGGAAATGCCAACTATATCACTAGTTCTGATTTTACTTCTTGAAACTTGTGAGTGTGTAGGTGAATACATAATTTCTTTGTTTCTTTAACCATTTGTAGGTAAGTTGCATGTATCATGTATCATGGACCTTTAAATTTGGGGGCATATT